CCCCTGGTATCTAATCTGAGTGGTTAACGTTACCACAGTAAACTGCAGTTTAATACATGCATGAAGGCCAAGGAAAACAATGTAATGGCTACTAACATGAGCATAAACTCAAATATCCTTAATCCTCATTGTGCGTGTATAACATGTCTGTGTGTGCATCAAGTTTACAAAAACACACTGAACTCACCAGCCAATTGCGTTGCTTGTGGCCAAAGATAAGTGATTAACGGAGAGTAAAGAAGGCTTCAGGGGCAAAATACTAGATAAAATATAAAGTGTCCCCTCAGGCAAGTATTTTTCCAAATTGACAAAAAGAAAGGGATCTCACAGCTGTCGACTACATTGCTATGAGTTTTAGTCACATCCATCATGCAGGTATAATCACTGGAGTGACATTTTAATCAACAGGAATGCAGCACAATGTGAAAGTGAAAGCAGTGCCCTGTTGATTTAATTATGTGTTTAGTTTTTTTTTCATATTTTGATGTTTCTTTGAATTTTGGTAAATATGGAGGACCAGGTCAGTGTTCAGATAAGGTTGTAAACAAGATGTTTACAACAACAGAATATTCTGCTGCAGGCATAATTGCCTCCACACTGCAGTTTTACTGGTTTTCAGTAAGCTGTGCTTTTTCTAAATAGCTATACTGCACATATGTTAGTGTCATGACACTCTAGCAATGTTTTAGTTTACTCCCTGGTTGTGATAACACATCCTTGGTTGCTTGGCAACTCTTCTTGCAGTGACAAGAGCAATCAAGCTTGAAACCAAGTTTATCTAAGAAAAAATAGCCATCAGTTTGCTTATCACAAACAGACTTGTACATATTCAATATCAGTCAAGTAAACACTGAACCATAAACAATCAATAATGCAAAAGACAAAACTATGTCCAGATGAGCAGATTCAACTTTCTGTGATTCATCTTGTTACGGCCCTGTTCACTACATTTAAAGCTACAGTCCTTGCCAGGACTGTTACAGTGTAACAGCTGGCATGACATGTATCAGGTCTTGTACATCACCAGGCTGTACGAGACCTGAATATTTAAGATGTTGGACTCAGATGGGTGTGTACCCATGTGGATTTAGGCCCTACTCTAGCTATCACAGATATTCTTGAGGACAAAACAGTTCTTTTTGAATCTTTGACAGCTTTTCAAGTCAGTTGAAAGTTGGATAATTTTCTTGCTTTACGTGTTCAGCTGATGTCTGTAAAAGCAGGCTCAATCTTTCATAGCTCTAGGTGAACAAGCCTAAATATGATCTTCCACTGGTATGTAGACACCTCACCAGAGATGACCTGGGGGAACAATTCCATGTACTATATATAGTATGTGGTATTGTTAGATATGAATACATGTGGGCTGCATTTAATCATACAAGGAAACACCAAAATAAACAAAAAACAAAAGAGTAGGCAAGGAAATCTCTTCCAAGGTTGTGAACAGGCTGGCTGAGTAGTTACGGTGTTGTACTCGAGCTGCTTAAAAAACATTTTAATTGTGTTGCTTGCAGTTTGAAGTGTTGAGTATAAAAAACATGGATGCTTCTATATACTTCTATAACAGTCTCCTTTATATGGAAGGTGTGTGTGGTGTGACCCATTTTTCTTTATATCTCACAAGTACGATTGTACAGTAGAGGCTATGGTTCTTTTTGTTTTTTGTCCTGTTCTGTTCCTGCAGCCAGAACTGAGCAGGAGCTGAATTCTCATGAAAAATAATCTGATAAATGTGAGAAAAGAAAGGTATTTAATTAAACCAGCTGGAGGAGATCCTCTTTCTCTGGTGAAAATATGTAGCTGATGTCTGCAACTGTATTCCCGGACGCCATATCATATATAAGTGTGTGTTTTCTGGTTTTTGCCAAAAGGAACATTCATAATTATGATAATCGTTCCTCTTATTGCATTGTGTAATTAGTGTATCATCAAGACAGAAGGCAATTGTCTCTGTTGTGCATGACTTACTCTGCCGATCTGAGAGGACTATAAATTACTTTTAGAAAATGGAAACTCTTACACTTCTCAATGTCTTTCTGCATCTGCCGTATGCCCTGCCATATTTGCCTTTAATATTTACAACAATTAGACCTCTTTTAGCCATCCTGGTGACATAGCTTGCACTAGTAAAACCATTGCTAATTATTGGACATTAAACTGAATTATTGTGAAACTAAACTGGAATGGTTACAGTGCCATACTTAGGGATGACATTTCACTTTTTTGTGTGTGGATGACTGATGGGATTTCATGTCAGAAACTTAAAATCCCTCCTCAGAGTCAATCTCATATATGCCTTGATCAAGTGCATTGGAAAGTTATATAGAAACCAGGATGGCCGAGTGGTTAAGGCATTGGACTTAAGTTCCAATGAGCAAATGCTCTCGTGGGTTCAAACCCCACTCCTGGTATTCTGTGCTTTAGTGAAGCTTCACATAACCCTTACCTTGTGTAACAAACCTAGCAATAGCACTCTCTGGTAAAAAAAAAAAAAAAACATAGCTAAGAAAAACTGAAGTCATTTGCATAATACAGATATCATATAATAGTGAGCATCATCTGGTTGTTATAAAAAGAGCTTTTGCAATAATTTTTCCTACACTGTTTTGAGACCAGTTTTAAATAAGACAGTGTTTTTAAAGTTTCCATAATGCTTGCAGTGTTTATAATGTCTAGCAAAGCCAGTTTTCATAACTACTGTTTTCCTAGCTTTGGCTGTATGAAGATACTGGGGCTATTCCTCCAGTAAAAATACCTAGCTTGCATTGTAAAACTGTAGTGATTGGCTTACATGTAACACGCGCTTACATCTACTTGGCCATCCTGGTAGTTTGCCCAAGGAAACTACCAGGATGGCCGAGTAGTTAAGGCGTTGGACTTAAGTTCCAATGAGCACATGCTCTCGTGGGTTCAAGCCCCACTCCTGGTAGAGTCAAATTTGCTGTCCATGTGGAGTTCTGATTTACTTTGGTGTTAGTAAAAGTAGTGACTATATCCAAAAAGTTACAGTGATGCCTTAAGTTCCAGTGGGTTCAAATCCCACCCCTGTTAGAGCAGCTGTATTCACTCATTAAACCTTAGAGGAGGGGTGTCTAACTCCAGTCCTTGAGAGCTACTGTCCTGCAGCTTTTAGATGCATCCTTGTGAATGAATGGCAGTCTACCTAAAATCAAACTGATTATATCCAAGAATAGAAAATATATGTCCGCTAGCATTTGTGAAAATGTAGCATTGTATGGTTTTCTTTCAACAGGTCTGATTTGGATTAGTTCATATTCTTGGATTTTGGCCACTGAAGATGCCAAAAAGCTGAATTATTCCATTAGTACAATGATATTGGCAGATGTGAACACTGTTGTGTTTGCATTCACTACAGCTCCATTATGTTCCCATCGTCACGCACACCCACCAACCGAGGGTGAACATTTCTCAAAGGCTGCTGCAAAACACTGAGCTCTCTTGGGAGGAAATAAATTATTTTACCAGAAAAACAATTTCAATCTGTGCCAAACGCTATTCACTGAACCCTCCCTGAGTCTCCCTGAATATCACATCCATACACCCTGTAGGATCAAAGCACCAAACACAGAGAACACCAGGTGATCAGCAAAAGTACCCGGTGTATTATGTGTGATGCTCAATTCCTTCTCTAGCTCATAAAAGATGGAAGAAAGCAAGAAAATGATGGTGCTAAAAGCGATAATGCGAACAAAAAATAATAATAAAAAAGGATGAAAGGCAGCAGCCAAAATGCTGTATATGAAAGATGACAAATGTTACAAAATGCTATCCCTCAAAAACCAAACAAAGAACCACACCAAGACTGACTCCACCTACAAGCAGGCTGAATAGACAGTTTTCAAAGGTTGCCATTCAGCTTGTTGAATGTCAGGAATAGACTCAAAAGAACAACAAATGAATACAAGAGGCAGGAGGAGCTGCAGGTGCACTACCGATAAGAGCTTTAACACTGAACACATGTTCAATATCCAATTTTTAGATCTTGCTCTCTTTAGAAGTATTGCCTTTCTTTTTATGTTTTCTTTTACTCACTGCTTTTACTTTGTATTTTACACTCTCAGTTAGACCTTAGGGACCAATATTGCTTGGTTTGGAACAGGGACAGATGTAGATTCGTATTAAAATACACCATTTCATAAAGTAATCCATGTGTTTGAAAACTCAGGTATGTATTTACTGCAGGGCATTTTTACATGCGCCCCCTTACTGTACCATTAAAGACATTTTTCGTCAACCCGCCTCTATAGCTAGAAAAACTATTTAATTGACATGTACTCCTATTATTAAACATGGTCTACTTTACTGTGTGGAACAACAATGATTATGGTTTCCAGTCATTTTATTATTTTTACTGTAATTCATCCCTTTGAACTTTATCAAGGCTTACGCTAAGGGTATCGGCAGATGAATGCGGATTCAGGCAGCTGTAGCCATGGGCTGTCTGCTGCGCTTCACCTTTGCTAATTGGATTCACTGAACTGGACCCCTTGAACATATTTGTGGCCGTGGTGCTTTTTGGAGAATTTTAAATTAAACCAAGAAGCCCGTGTACCCTTTTGGGTTAATAAAATGTATTGTTATATTACTTAGAAGTAATTAGCTGCTACGGGTTTATGTGTGACAACTCCTCGATGGGATGACGGAGTGAGTATGCAATGAGTTACCAACAAATTGTAACTGACTATATTATTTGTGCATATGTATGTACAAACGCCCCAGACAGTCAAGGAAAAAGACTAGCATGTTTTATTAGCTAAGGGGAATGTGTGTCATGCTTGTGTATGTGTACAGGATGCTGCAGTCGATGACAGAGCCACTCCATCACATTATGGCTAAAATTAAACATGAATGCTTATCCAAGCAACACAGCGGTAAGGATTTCTGCATCGGTGTCGGTGCGTCTCAGTGTCAATGACAGCGAGGGTATAAAATGATTTAATCTGAGCTCAGTGAGACGGGTTTCTGCTGGTGCTGACCTGTCAATGATGCCGCACATGTCGATCTGCAGCTGGCTGTAATTTCCCAGCAGTCTTTGCTGCACCTTGATCAGGTCGACTCTCTGGTTCTCCACCGTGAGTAGACGCATGCAGCCCTGGAAAGTCTCGAAGAGGTTTCTACATTCCTCACTGTGCTCTTCAGCAGGACAACCTTGATGGGAAAGAAGTTTTATCAGTTAAACAAAAAGCCAAGACAACACCGATGAGATTATGCTATCCTCCAAAGAAAACAACAGGACAGGCCAAGTGCACAAGGTGTTAACAAGACCAGTAGTTTGGTTTTAAAGTTTAGTGGTGGTGTGAAAATTACATGTATATTGCAGGAACTTTCAGACTGGCTTTAAATGTATAAATGAAAGCTTTACAGCATGCTTGTGAAGTGAAAACATGTAGCACAAAGCAGTAAAAACTCTGCTTCACACACATTCGTACCAGTGAAAATAATCTGTAAAATTTAAGTGAGACCGCTGCCTTACTAGTGCATACAGGAGACAGAGCACATAACACCCACTTGCTAGTGAATGTGCCCAAATATTAGTTGCTCTGTTCTTATATCAACACAATCCAACATCACACGCCCTTTGTCTTACAGAGCTGGCTGGTTAAAGATCAGTTAATATCTCATCTGCATTGAACACTTCTGTTCTGCATACAGCTGTCTTAGGTAAGTCCTTAAGCCGTTTAGAAAATGTCAGAACTGCAGCGCATGAGTAAAATGATGAGTGAGAGTAAAATGAAGTCAAACTCTGGTAAAAGGTCTTCTACCACATAAAGAGTGGTGCTGTTATTTGTGCTTTTTTCTTGTACTCCTCAGTGCCTAAAATCCTGCAAATGTGGACCAGAGTTCACTCCTTTCCCTTTAACACACCTTGGATTGTGTGCACTATTGAGTGCCTCCTAACCGAGAAAAAGGAAGTTGTCATGTTTAGTGACTGGGAAAAATATTAGGTTGGCATAGCATGAGTTGAAAAGCAGTTTGAAAAAGGAAAAAGGGGACTCTAAAAGAAAGTTAGACAGGAAATTGCAGTGCAATAACATCAGAGAGGTGTAGAGAGGAATGAACATCATTACTGGCTTCAAGCAGAAGAGAAATCAGCCGTTTAAGATGCTCTGCAAACGGATTTGACCAGTTGCTCCCGCCAACCTCTGCCAGTCAAGCCTCTTCGCCATCACCACCCTCACTAAGCACCTTCTACACCAGCTTCTCCTCAGCTCTTCTTTACAGTGGATTGGGTGAGAGCTGAGCTCAGGAGGCAGAATTCAGGGAAGGCGGAAGACCGTGGTGCCCGGTACTCTGGCACTTAAAGACCGTGTGTCAAAGCCAGTGGAGCCTGCCTGTGCTATCTTCAGCCTAAGTCATTGGTGCAGGAGGAAAACATCATGTCTTATGCCAGTAAGGCAGGGCAGCTAATGATGATTAATCACTACAGAGCAATTGCTCTCACTTCTCAAATAACAGAGATATGATATGGGGAGTGGGAGCCCCATGAGACCACAACTCCAACATGCACTAGAACCATTACAGTTTGAGTACCAGGGGAACACTGGTGAGGATGACCTGGTCTTCTCATGCAGTTAATAGCGTTCATAATACTGATGGTTAGTCTTACGGGGATCATTTGCACCTTTTAATTGGCTATTTTATTGCTTCATATCTATCTTTAAATCATATGAAAACAGGTCATCATTTTTGTTGTTGTCCACTTACTGCAGCTAGCGCGAGTAAATGTGTAAATGTGCGAGAGTGCACTTGCAGGATGATAAAAAAGCCTAAAGCTGTAAAACACAATGCTAGACTACAATATTGCTGAGCAGAGGGAAAACAAAGGAGATGAGATTTTTAGGCAGCGAGGGAGGCAGTGGAGTATGAACAAAAGGGGGAAAGGGAGGGAGAAAAAAGAAAGAGAATGAAGTGGATTGCAGCATGAGGCAAGGACAGAGTAAAGAGAGACAAAAGCAAGATGAGAGAAAGAGTACACTAACTGTATGATGCAATATACACATCTTCTATATAAACATAGCTATGCTCTTTTAAACTGTATTGGAACAAGCTGTTTAATCCTCTGCCTTTAAGCCAACTTAATCGGACTGACTTCCCCTCGTTAACAGAAAATCTGAACAACAGATGGGTGGAACTGTTGTGTGCCAGAGATGACCATATTAGGGATATCCAACCTCTCACTGAAATGAGAATGTGGACCAGTCTAAAGCATGCATGAGTTTTTGGCATGTAGGGTGTACTTGCACATGCGCTGACCTCAGCATTTGAAACTGAGCCATGTTTAGTATGAGCATCCATCCTTGTAAGTGTGTTTATATCTATATCAATAGCCCACTTGTGCCTTCTTGTTCTAGTAGCCTACTTCTCATCAGTGTGTCCGGGTTCTTCAACATCCGGGCAACATCCAAGCTGGTATGGTTTCAGTTTTCTGTCTTTCGCTCATGTCTGAGGTAGGCTTGGATAGCATGGGGGGGGTCTAGCCTAGGGACCCTTGTTGGAAACAGGAGCTGGAAAGAAAAGCATCTAGACTAGTTTAAGTTTCTTGAAGACGTTTCACCTCTCATGCGAGAAGCTTCTTCAGTTCTAAGACCAATTGATGGATTTTAGTCCCAGATTTTTTTGGGAGTGACCCTATAATGTTCATGGACCTACTATTGATCCTCCGCCGAATCTCACCAGCCAAGGTGTGTAAACAGGTGTGGGTCGCTATCAGCCAAGGTTTCAGGTGAACTCATTGTGAGACCTTGCCTCACCCAGTCATGTGACTTACTGAGATCAAATGACTCAAAATGTGAGTGAGCGTTAAGGCATCTGGGAAGGGATCTCAAAACTGGATTATAGATGGCAGACAGTTGTAAGCGACCCCCTCTGTTCAAAGATGGTCACTGGCATCCTCGAAAGAGTGACCTTCATCCTTTAGATGCAGATGTACAGCTCAGTCTTGTCCTGTTGAGCTTCTTGAAGAAGCTGAGACCTCTAAAAGTTAGGTAACAGCACCTTGACTGCCATTAGGTATCAGGATGTTGTTGCCTTAGACCCACTGTCAGACCCTAGTATGTTGGTGCAATAGGTCCAGGGTTCCTCCTGGTGCACCACAACGCCAAATGTGGTGACAGTATGCAGGCAGTTCGGGGAGGATACCACTGAGTGCCAATTCCAATGATTCACTCCCAACCCCTGGGAGTCATTTGGTACCGGTCCATGAGAGTTGAGGCTCGGGTGTGAAATTTATGGTTTTCAGGGTTTTTATCGATAACTCGGTTTCCCTGGGTCTTTTCCCGTGTTGTAGTTGTGTGTCTTATTTTGAAAGAAATATTTATGCGTTATCATAGCGACCAGAGAACATTAAGGGGGAGAGGGGGAGGATGTTACTCTCAATGTTGTTGGTGCATTTCAGGAGGACGCTGCTAATAAAGTTACACAATTACACAGTGAATTTGCGTTTATTATTATATTTACAGAATACCACAGTTTTTGTCTTGGTCGTATCTTTTTTTTTTGTCGTATTTATCCGTGACACCTTACAGGCCGGTCCGTGAAAATGTTGTCTGACATTAAACCGCTCCGTGGCGTAAAAAAGGTTGGGGGCCGCTGCAATAGAGCACTTCTGGGACGTTACATTTCGGTCCATCTGATGCCACCAGTTTGCACCTCAGACTATCCAGAAGCTTGTTGATGTGCTGGTTCAGAGCTGGGAGGAGATTCCCCAGAACACCATCCATCATCTTATTTGGAAAATGTCCCAACATCGTCAGGCATGCATACAACCACCAGCCTGCTGCATCATTTTTTCATTTTGATTTTCAGGGTGTCTTTGAATTCAGTCCTCTGTACGTTGATAATTTTTATTTCCATGAAATGATGTAGTATCATTTTGTTCCTCCCGCATTACTCAATCCATATCAGTAAAGATATCAAGGATGATTTATTTTCCACACTAGTTTCTGATGTACTTTGCCATTCAATTTATTATACGAATCAGGATTATGCAATATTTAAACAGATATGAGATTGTTCGCTTTTATTCTCAGCTTCCTGAATTTAATAAGAACACACCCACACAGTCACGATGAAGGAGGTTAGCTGTGTATGTAGTGTTAAACACCTCAAAGATTATTTTTTCATGAACATCTAGCTTTCCAGAGCAATACTTTTAAAATCAGTTTTCAGGGGATCTTGTAACTGAATAAGAACTTTAATTACAACCAACAGAAGGAACAGAAATCTTCTAATTGCTTTTCCAGTTAATCTAAGCATAGATATAATATGTAGAAACACATATACTTAAGGAATTTCAAAGTTTCTTAGTTTATAAAAGCCCAAAAGCCTGAATTCACTCTTACCACCAAAGAACAGTTGACTTTCTGCGGTGATGGGAAATGAGGGAGCAGCATGAGCAATGCCCCCTTCTCCTTTATCCACAGAGATTGTCAAGCGACCGCGTCTGGCTGTAAAATCCACTGAATGCCACTGACCATCATTTAGAGCAGCACCTGAGAAAACAGCAGGCGACAACCCTAATGATATTTTATTTCTTTTTATTTTAAAAACAGTATTAAAAACATAAATCAGTAAAGGGTTGACACATGAAAGGTTAGGATTTCATTGTGCAGGTTTATACACTGACCTGCGCTGAGATCCAGCACCACTGAGCCACTTTTATGGATCATCAGTCGGAGTCTGGCATCACTCAGATATAACCAGACCATGCCCTCTTGTTGAGGAAGGCTAAAGGTGAACAGAAGCCCTCCCTTGTTCCACGTCCTGAACTGGAATCCGACAGACACACCACCCGGCGAGGACGCTGTAGTCCCGGGCAACTGGAGGAAGCTCTGTGGCCCGGGGAACGTCAAAGCAACGGAAACTGGCTCAGCACAAGAAAAGGTCACATTGCCCTGAGAGAGAAACATGAAGAGTGGAGAGTGGGGAGATGGGAAGAAAAAAAATGATTACTGGTGAGATAAAACAACATAAAACATGAATATTAATCAGCTGCTGAGGGTGTGTCGCTGTGACCTTGTGGCGCAGCGATCTCATCAGCAAGTCTCCTTGAATATAGCAATATAGCAATGGCTCCTAACTAAAAACAGCAATGTCACCCATCACAGAGCTGTACAGGGAGGTAGATATGCATATGAACAGTGCTATACAGGCATTTCCACTGCGGCCCATTGTTTTGAGTAGTGGTAATGACACTAGGTCCATTGCTAAGGCTGTAGCAGTTATATAGTACAGCCCCTGCTCTCTTCTGGGAATATCAGCCTGCTATCTTTATAATGCTCTGGAAACACAGATGACATCTAAAAGCCCTTTGTAGAGCTGTTAAAGTGATATATGAAAGTATACGGTGGAGAAAGCTTCACCACTGCAAAATAAAAAGTAAAAAGTGGGCTATAAAATTCCCCAAAAGCCATTTACTAACACATATGCACAACCAAAATACTCCACATTACTGTTGCCGTGCCTTTAAGAAAGGCTAAAAGTGCTCTCTTTATCAAGACAGACTAGAACAGTGTTAATACTCTATTACTATGAGATGTATGGAGCTCTTGTAAAACAGCCTCTATTAGACCTTCAGCCATGCATGTGAATCTCTGAACCATTTTTACCAAGACGTTTTGCTTCTCTGCTCTCTCATCCTAAACTGTAATGAGAAACCATTTGTTACAAAATGGTTCAGAGTTGCTCTCCACTGAGTTCGCTACACTTATTGTCATTGGAGAAATGTTTTTTTTTTTCTTTTTCTAATGATAAAGGCGAGGAAGGGCTTACTAGAAATCTAACCACCATCAAGGCTCCTCTGTCTTCTCATCGCTCAGTCTCCTCGTTAGGAGCTCATTAGCATCATTAACCAGCTAGCAGCGCCGCTGCCGGCATCCACATAATTTCCCAGTGGTGCTCTGAGGATGTGAACATGTATGAACACACCTGCACGTACAAACACATTCATATACTCTCGAGGCTAACCTGTCGTTATTTATGCACGCGGAGGATTGGTGAGTGCTGGATAAGCAGCAGAGGAATCTGCCTCGTGCTGTTTGTAGGGATTTCTTAATAATACTAATAATCAAGTCACTAAAAGAAAAAAAAACTGAGTCACGAGTCTGCAGTTTATACTTTTTTTTAGTGCCTCCGATCTAGCTATTGATGCTGTGTTTTCTCTCAGATATAAAACCCACAGAGCCTGGGGAGTTTGAGGAGCTAAACATCAAAGCACAAAATCAGTCGTCATCACACTATATATATATATATATATATATATATATCAACCCTCTCGATGCACTGATCAATAAATTATCAGAGTGTGTAAAGGATGGATTAAGCTTTAAGAAAATAGAACATGTCTAAAGATAAATATAAGGAAAGCTGTACAGCTCACACATGGGTCATTCTGCAAAGCATTTACCCCCTAAAAGTCTATTTTCTTTGCTAATTGTGGTCTATTGACTTCACCTCACAGAAAATTTGTTTCACAGAAACAGAACACTGTTTCCCAATAATCTTTCATCTATTGGGAAATAGATGAAAGATTAGTCCATTTTTCCAGATTCTTGAGATGCTCAGGAAACCTCAACCAAATCTTCATCAGGTATCAGGTTACTCTGCTAACTGTACACACTAATAATTGTTTCATAATGCTTATGTCTTTAGAATAAATTTATTTTTCTTCCAATTGATTACGACTCCTGAAGAAGAAGCACAATTAAAAACATCCATAAGTCATGTTTAGCTTTTCCTACTCTCAACTAATTTAAACTTCTCAGCCAACAAATTGTTACAGTTATCTTATCTAAACCATTAGATGTAACACCACCCTCTCCTTTGCTAATAGTCTGCTCAGCTATTAGCCCTGCATGTTGCAGATATTTTATGCTGTAATGTTGTATCTCTTTCTATTTTAGGAAGGCAAGAATCAACACAGTTTTGCAAGATACCCAGCTTAAACCATGAGTAGCCAGGGTTTTGTTTTTACATTTATTTAAGCAGAGGAAGATGTCTTGGGTTCTAATCTTTGAACATA